TGTATGCTCAGTTACAGTTTAGGGATGAATGGATGAATGAATGAATGAATGAATGGCACTAAATGTGTACAGAGAGTCATAAGATTATTGCAGTATAATCTTAACAACATCCACCTTTATTTGGAGAAATAATGATGCGAGTATTGTGTAGTTTTTTTCTTATGGTTAATGCTGAAAAAAAAACCATGCAGGGAAGTGCCTTGGGAAACAGAAAAGCCAACTAATGATTTCAATAGCCACCTACAGGTATGGTAACCCTAGACAGCATAAATTAAGGCACTCAACTAGGACACACATCAGTCACCTGAGAAGCTTCCTATTGTCAGATTCTCTGTTTGAGGCGATAAGGAAAGGACTCTCCCTACCAACTCCCCACCCCATTCAACAAAGAAGTTTCCCAAACATAGAAGCCTGCCTTCCCAAATTTCAGGGATGGGTCAATCTTCTTAATACTCTGTGCCTACGAGGATACCTCCCTCTGGATACATACCACTGCACTCTAATGGACAAGTATTTTTGCAAGTCTACTGTCCACTAACTTTTTCAATTCTTCCCTCTTAAAGAAACAAAAACTCTCTGTTGACCTCTTCTTCCTATCATTCCCCAAAGCACTTTCCTGGTACTTCTGAAGGTAGTCATTAATTTCACCCTGCTCTGAATGATGACCACTGACACTTAGCTCTTTCCTAAGAGGGTACGTATGGTGTGCCTCATTCATCACTGAGTATCCCAGAGCCTCGTACAGAGCCAGGGATGTGACCGGTGCCCAGCCCAACATGCTGGAGTACTGAACAGCATTTGGAGGCTAAATCCAGGGACTAAAAACATAGAATTTAGGTTTGACCACAACTAGCTCTGAATCCTGGCCAGACCATGGACTAGCTTTTTCACCCTGGGAAAGTCAGTTGACTTCATAAGCTTCTGTTTCTTCACCTGTCAAATAGGGATAGCAACACCATATTGGTTCAGTTTCTGAAAATATTCTCAAAATACTTGTGGGAAGTACTGAGCACAGTGCCTCATACGGAGCAGGTTCCCCATCCATGGCAGAATGAGAACACCACCAAACTATGAAGATAAAAGCTCGAGTGCTAATTCCAGCTGCCCCAGAGGGTGGTTCTAGGTAAGTGCCTAGGACTCAGTTTACTCATGAGTACAGGAATTTTGTGAGGAGCAAAATAAGCAGCAAATATAATGCACCCAACAGAGTGTCTTTCCCACTGCAAATGTGCATTTTAGATAGTTCCTTCTCCCTTTCTCCAATAGTGACACTCACCCACCAGCCTTTACAAAGAAAGAGAAAATCAATTGTACGATGCTGACCCGAGTTCTCCCTTGATTTTTGTTTAGATATTGCCCCTGAGATTTCAGAATTGAGGGGAGAAATCAATGTCCCATCAGTGAATCATCATGAGGTGAGGGGAGGTAATTAGGTTTATTTTTTTTTTTAAGTGGAGGTACTGGGGCTTGAACCCAGGACATTATGCATGTTGAGCACATGCTCTGCCACTGAGCTACACCCCCCCTCCCACAATAAGCCGTCATTTACAGCCCAGTTCAGGAGCTGCCTCATGAAGCAGAGAACTCCCCAACTCTAGAAGAATAAACATTTAGTAGAAATGGGCTGACAGTCCCGAGGAACGAGCAGGATTCCTACACATCAGGTGGAGGATGGAACCAATTCATCACTAAGGCATCTGTGACTCGGGAAGTCTGTGACTCAGCTGTGAGTTGCAACTGAGAATACGGACAGACCATGCCACTGGGGCAAGCACTGGAAGGTTCTTCCTCAATTTCCACAGTTGCAAATAGGGCCACACGGCAACCCTGGCATTGTCTAAGACAGGAGCTGTGGCTGAAAGACACTATATGAAAACTCTCAGAAGCCTCATATTAATTCCCAGAACACAGTGCCACGCTTTACACGTATCTGAGGGATACATGCACTTTTGAGATAACGTCACCACAAATCACTTTTGGAAATAGGCAAGACTCAAATAATAAGTATTTTAAATAAGATTGTACAAGAAAATTGTCTTGAAAAACTCTAAGACTCTATACAAACATGTATCATCGTTGCCATACTTCAGTACTTTTTTAAAATACCGTGCTATTTTAAATACAGATTTTAAACAATTTTACGCCCTCAAAAAAACTCTTAATATTGGTGTAAAGATACTAATGAATTCATCTCTTTTTTAAATGTTTATTATTCATTTATTTATTTTCCATGAAGGCACTGGGGGTTGAACCCAGGACCTCATGTATGCTAAGCATGCGCTCTACCACTGAGCTATACCCTCCCCGCTAATGAATTCATCTTAACAGATCTTCAAATCGAGTTGGTTTTAGGTATCTCCATGCAAAAAGGCTGTATCTACACTGAGCTCTTAAAAGCTCCAGGTCAAACTGGGAAACGCCAGAGGTGGGATCCTGACCCTTCAGCTCCACCCTCTGTAACCGGTCTCCCTAGTCCCTTTAGAACTGGAATCTAAGATACTCCCTTTCTGGCCCAGGTTCTAGCTATGAGCATTTCAATTTTCTTGTCCCGAGAGCCTATGCCAGGGCTTCTCTGGGGACTCAGCTCTCCAGCCAGAGCCAAGAATGCATAATCGCAGTTCCCAACTCTGCAGATAAATGACCCACCCGCTCACTCCTTCTGCCTGGACCACTGCTGAAGACAGAAGCCCGCTGGGGCTGGGCCACCTACCTCCCAGCACTTCACAGTCGCTGTCCATGCTGTCATGCACGCCCGCAAAGATGTTGGCCAGAGTGGACTTGCCCACCCCCTGCTCCCCTATGAGAACCACCCGGTAGTAGGTGTTCCCTGACTCGGAGGAGATGACTGAGTCCGTGGAGTCGGAGGACCAGCTCCGGCGGCAGTGGTCCTCAGGGGCAGCAGAGTGCCGGCTGCGCTGGCTGTACGGGTGGGGCTCTTTCTGGACCGTCAGATGCCTGCCATCGGCCGGGATGCTCCAGCGCTGCTGCTGCGGCTGCATGCCCACAGTGCCCTGGCGCATGGTGACGTTATTCAGAGTCATCGCTGGGTCCTGGAGAGCAAAGCAGCCAAGATGTTAGCATGAGTAAGCATGAGCCCGAGCTCGGGGGCTCAAACACAGTCACTGGTGATATTTTATTAGATGAGGTGAGACCTCAGTACCTCATAAGGAACACCAGTGAAGCAGTCCCCAAACCCAACAGGCTTTCAACTGAGCGCGCGCGCACACACACACATGCATGTTCTATTAGTTATCAGCTCCTCGGGAAGACTGTCGTTCGGAAAGAGAAAAATTACCGTTAACATTGCCCACTGCCCTGGGACTTCCTCCATCCTCAAGGAAGCCTTGGGATTCCCCACTCAGAGCTGGCACAGATGCAGCCAGAAGGAACCAACAGCCTCCAGAGACGGCTTGAAAAGCAACAAGTTAATGCAGCTGGGGACCAGTGAGCCAGGTTAGCTGCTCTGGTCTAAACATAGCTCTTAATTGCACCAGCATCCAGCAGGCTTTTATGCCTCAGTGGGAAACATGTGACAATGACATCACTCCCCCTGGGTGGACTGGACAAGCTCTTATTGGGACTTCCATGTTTAGTAAAGTTGCCCTGATGCTCCCTGGCTCCCTGAATAAGCTATTATTTGGGGGTTAGGGGGGGAGATTTCTGTTTGACGTCTGTGCCTCAGCTCTGTCCTCTCACCCACAGATACTGTGTTTAAAACTTCCCAGTCGCGAACCTTGTCCTTCCAGCAGGGAAGTGACCTGCTCACGTTCAGACCTGTCAAATTTACAGAGAAAATGCTTCACTCTTATTAAACCACGTCCACTCCGAGAGTTCTTTACTTCGACTCAGAGTTCCACCTTCTTGAAGCAAATCAGAACTCTCCCAAAGACTCTCCCAAAAAAACCTTCAACAACTTCGCTACAACTTTCCCTTCTCAAGACTCCCTCTCCTTGCACGGAAGTCTGTGCTCCCAGGGTCCTTGAGACAAAGAAGCAGCATTCTCATTTCAATCAGCAAGACCCACTCGTGAGAGCAAGAAATGCACAGGCACCCCTTCCGACACTCACCCCTTCCGACACTCACCCCCCACTCTACACCCCAGCACTTTGGCCACTAACCACGATGACCAGCCGTTTTTATTTTAATCGTATAAGCATCGCCTCCCTTGGCCGACTTGAATTCAAACACCAAAAGCACGAAGTATCACTGAAGGCTGCCCTCTGACCACAATCTGTAGGAAGAGGTGACTCTCCTACTGAACCGAACTAAAGAACCTGCTGATGGCAAACGGCATCCTTTGTACTTTGAACTGTCCCCGACCGGAAAACCGCAGCGCAGACCGCACGTTCCAAAGGCTCGTTTCTCAACTTAGAAAGTTCTGCGGGCAGGGAACGCCCACCCCTTCCCCAACCACCGCCCCCGACCCCGAAGTCGGGAGGCGCCCCCTCCCCGGCCGCCCCGCTTACTTGGTGGGCGTCCGAGGGTCTGTGCGCGAGCGCGCGCTGCGATGCCGGGGCCGCCGAGCGCGGGAGGCTCGCGCGCCGCCGCCCTGGGTACCGCCGCCCGCGCCGCCGTCCGCAGCCGCCGCGGCCCCGCGCTTTATACGAGCCCGGCCGGCCCGCGGCGGGGCTTTTCCGTGACGTCAGCGCCCCCGCCGGGAGGGGGCGGCTCTGCAGCAAACCCCGAGTTGCAGCCACTTCACGAAATCAGTTACTCGCAGTCATGTGACCCCCTCTGCCCTTTTGAAAAATAACAACCATTCAATCCCGGGCTCCTTTATTTGATTTTATTTTATTTTTACCAGGTGGACACAGAAAGATGAGAAAACACACTGAGTGCCTGTCAGTCGCGCTCCCCAGCAAAACACTTGCGAGCTGTCCGGATAAAGGATGGAGGAAAAGGCAGGTTTGCATTGGAAGCCCAGTTTCGCCAAAACAAAAAACAAAAAAAACAAAACAAACAAACGAACAAACGAACAAAAACAGGGATCAGCCGGGAGTGAGAGGAGATTTAGCCTTTAGGATGGGGCTGCCGTCACCTTGAGTGTCCAGGGCTTGTGTTAGCAGCATCTCCTGCAAGGAAAACAGCCTCTGCCTGCTCCTGTCACCTTCTCTTTGGAAGAAGAGGGGAGCCCGACACCGCTTGGTTTCCCTTCTCCGACAGGCACAGGTGAGGAAAGGGCACAAGATCTTGAAAAAGTCTTGAAAAATAATTAAGGATCCAAGCAGATTGTGCTAAATGTTGCCGCTGCTCCTCCCTCCCGCTCTGGGCTGGGCTGCCGAGGCTCCCCAGTCAGGGAGTTTAATCACCATCCCTACGGGCAAGCATCTCTGTACCAGGCTTCCTGGCACGGCTTGGCCTGGGCATGGAGCCAGTGCCTCCAGCCGTGGGAGGAGCCCTGAGCCAGACATTAGGGCCCAAGTCCCCCAGTGATTCCTGTGAGTAAAGGTCACAGGATAATAATAATAACCACAGCCATTTCTATTACCGTTAACGGAGTACCTCTGAGTCCCCATACTCAGGCGGTACTGTTAGGCCTCTGCAGGATCTGACTTTACTACCGTTCTGCCAGGTGGATATACTGCTACCCCCATTCCATGCAGGAGAAGATGATAAACAAGCCAGAGAGCTTGCCCAAGGTCACACAGCTCTCATAAGGATTCAAAGCCTGGCTTGCCCAGCGCTTTGCACTGCACCACCAGCTGAAGGGTTTCAGTGACCTCTTTCTGGGGACATGGGCATTTCCCAGACGCTGTGTTTGGAGATGACACTGGCCTTTCCAACGCATCCATCCATTTTTCCAGCCAGCCTCATCTGTGTGTTGGCTGATGGCATTGGAAAATAGCCAGAGGCACCAGCATCTATTTGAGTGGCTGGACTGTGCTGTGAATGGGGGCCATTCTCGGGTGTCCTGCAACACTTATCCGCTTGGGGGATTATCCCACTGGCCAGCTGCTGAGGCGTGCCAGGCCCCAAGTTGGCAAAGGTGGGACCACAGAGTGATGAAAACTCAGAGCTCTTTTAGTCTCAAGTGCTCTGGCCGCAACCTAATATTATTTTATACATAATTGGAAGCTGATGTCCAGAGGAGTGACTACCACTCAGTTAGTAAATGGCATAGCTGAAATTAGAATCTGGGTGTCGTAACTTCCTTTATTTCCATCCAGTTTTTCTTCTGGGCTTAGCCAGGAGAGAGATGGCTACAGATATGGGGGATCGAGGAGGCACAGAGAGAGCAAGAGAGGGACAGAGGGAGATCGTCTAAAAGTACACTGCTGACTCCATGCTAAAACACATGTCACATGTGTTTCAGAATTATCCATGCTTTTTCCATACTGGGCCTCCTACTCTGTCAACTGGTCTGAACAGAAACATTATGTGGAGTAAGAAATAAGAATAAATCGGAGTTTATAAGTATACATCTAGCCTCTCAATTCTTCTTTTGCCCA